CGTAGATTCGTCTGTCACCAATATGCACTTCAATAAGTCCGGATTATTGTCATGTTGATGCAACAACCACTCACAAAACCGCACTCTTGCTGGAAAATCGTCAGGTTGAAGGGCTTGTACACGTTGGACGTGAAACGGATACAGCCCCTCTTCACGCAGCGTTTGCCACACTTTAGTTTTTGATACTTGCACTTCTCTAGCCACGTCTCTAGTGCTTGTTGAGGGATTCTCGTCTACGCGATTCAGTAGTTCTTCCTCAACTTGCACCATTCGTGGTTGTCTAGGCCTCCCACTGTGCCCACCTCGAAATTCCTCCAAATGGCCCGTATCCCTGACTCTCTGGACCAGGTACACAAATCTGCGGGGCCATGGATGATGTCGTCTAGGGAAACGATCTGCATACACTCACGAAGCCTCTGTAGCATTTTGAAGACATTCGCCATAAATTAACAACATATCAACGAGTTCATTATTGGTGTATGAATGTGCCATTATTTTTTTTTTTGAAACCCAATCGATTATACGGGTTCGTTTACCTCTACACGCGTGACCGTAACCGTCGGTTGAAGGTCGCATACTGACCTGACACACTGACCCCGACCCAGTTCTGTCGTCGGGTTGAGCCAGTGACCTTGTACCACTCGGTGATGTCGCGGGTCGCGGCTACAGGACGGTATTCAGATATTTTTGATGTTGCAGAGCCCTTTATCTCGGTTCCCTTAAGACATTGGTGTATATGGTACTAAGAAAAATTGTTATGTTTTCAAGATCTACACGTCGTGTAAAGGAAAACCACAACTTTGCGGACACCCTGTATATCCCATACTCAGAAGTGGGATGGGTCTAAGAGAAGAATAACAATTTCCTTTGACAGCCAGGCCGCAATCAAGGCACTAAGTGCAATCAACTGTGTTACAATAAAGAGAATCTCTGGATGGTTTGACATCTGGTATCGTTAGTGTACGTAATGATGGCGACACATGTTGTACGCTGCACTCACTTGTCTCAGTTCTCTCTCCCAGCGCTTGTGCCGCGACAGACTGCAAACCATTTCCATTTCCGGCATATTTGTCGGCACATAACACGGCACATAGAAACGTACATTTAGTAAAACACTACTGCGGGTGACCCATCAAACTTCCACAAATCTTACTTTCGAATTTTGGATCTACTAAAGTAACGCTTGAGCACTTTACTAGGCTGTTTGTTGTTTAGGGCTCACTCTATGCAACATCCAGATAAGACCTAGCCTTGAGTGTTGCACATACGTTAGGGCTGCTGCCGCCCCGATTACATTATTTATGCTCGATGCTGTCCAGGTGAGGGCCGTCCGACTGATCGATGACTCTTCTCAAACATACAGTCTCGGGACCCTTTCGCACTGCTGAGTCGTCGGTGATTTAGCTCTCTTCAGCCGCTAAGCCAACGAGCTTTGCTCCTCAGAGCTCTCGGCCTCCGATCTTAATCATGTCAAACTTCGTACATCCAGAACTGGTCGATAAGACGGCTCGTTTTGCCCGAGGGTGTCGAGATTGTGGAACAATCTACGAGAGGAGGCGTTTCCCAGTTCTACCAACCTTAGGCAGTGCAAAAATCGGATTAACAAAATTTCTTTGGGATCCTCATAGCAGAGGTGTCCTGGCATTTAGGCTTCTGCCTGCGCGGCTGCTTCGGTGTAAAAAAAAAGAAAAAACGGATCCGGTAGACGGCTCGGCTAAACTTTACTCCGAGAGAGCCGCTATCCGATATTTGGTAAACCATTCACAGACTCCGTTGAGCCGCACTGTATGCATAAAAAATGCGTATGAATAAAATATAATTTCTTACGGTAGACGTCATATAGCAAGATTGAAATGCATGTATGTAGTATGTATGCGAGGAAAAATCAATGAAATGAACAGATACGACGTTCTGCCTCGCTCTGCTTTGATACAATCTATAGAAATGCTACTGAAAGTTATTTATAAAAAGACTGATTTCAACTAATTCACTTGGAAATTATTCCCGTAAAAGGGTTAATCTCATATCGATGAAGTAAGGGTAATCATATCACGGCACGCGATATTTAACCTTTTACTATATTTTGACATATAAAACATCTAGCTATCTAGTGGCGACGTACCGCGCGCTGACATCGCTATAAATTACGATTACTGAATTTCGCCATGTTGACCGATATGATGCGAGCACAAGCAGGCCTACGAGTTATTACTCTCATCAAACATACAGACACACAGTCTTTTCTTCAAGTAAATTGGTACACGCGCAAAATAAACCTACCTTTAATTTTACTCATGCCAAACAATTGATGAAACATGACAACGAAAACGGACATTCCATCCTTCAGACCGATTTAAGACTGTACAAGTAAAACTAACGAGTGTCATTTGTCAGCCTTCATGCTGTGTTTACCGCAGACATGGATACAGCGTTCGACGCTAGTTCCATGCGCTTGTACTTAATAGTGCCAATATACGTTTATATACGTTTACACCATGTGTTGTGCGCTGCAGTAGTTCGTAGCGTAACGCCAGTGGCCTTGGTCTAGCCATGATCTTAGCACAAACACGAGTCATAACTTCACATGTCCTTGAATTTATTGAAGGTTGGGGTCTCTGAGCACTTCGGGATCAAGGGATCCCTCTCATTCCAATTCCTTTCCTTTTCTGAAGAACATAACATGCGGATTCTTACTTATTTGCTCCATGATAAGCACAAAACAAATGCGTTTACGTACTATTTTATTGTAGGTTGAGTTTTTGGTGAGTAATTATTTGGTCGATAGTTCCGTTATTATAACAGGTTTCTAAAAAAAAGTTATTTACAAGTGTTATGTAGAATATGCAACTCTCCACAGGATGATTCATAACAACGTGGCAACACAAACATACATTTTAAATAGAATACCCAAACTTTAGTACATGCTCAGAGAAGTTAGAATATGTTCATCATTACATCTGCGGCTACAGGATCCTTTTCAACTTTGATAACTCATAAGCCAGTCACTTTTGCAGATAGAGTAGCAAATTTTTTGTCAAAATGAGTTTCATGTTCTATACTTACTCGTAATTTTCAGATGGAATATCCCGTAGCACCAGATGCAGTGAATCAAGCCCCATATATAATATATAAAATGCTTTTTTTAAAACCTCTAGGAATATCAGAATAAAATATAGAGAATACTCTATTTGAGAAATGTAGTTTGTATTGTCACGTGGTTATGAATCGTCCTATTGAAAGTGGCATATTTTCCAGGCAAGCAGATTGTGGTTATATACTCGTACATTTATAGAGAAAAGCTTCAGAATTTAGTTGGGTACTTCAACAAGATTAAAGCAATGATGATTCTTCTTCCTTTATTATATCGAGCTTCCGATGAACTATGCCATCATCATCAGGAGCTACAATAACATTAGGAAAAATAGCAACTACAGTGCGAAATTGATTTTACATTACTTACAACAGTATGTGAGATTGTTGCTAAATTTTATTATTACTTAAGTTGATGGAAACACTTAGTAGCCTGGTGAAAGCTAGATCCATGGTGCATTCGATAAAAATAGTAAAAAACACACTGCTGTATGTTAGGAACACATTATAACGTATTAAAAATTATTTGGAGTGGATGTTAAATTTTTTACAATATTACATCGTGGAGAACCGCCTATTGCTGCACAGGATAGTGTACGACCCAGGATCATTAGAAGCAAGAAGAACACATGACGACTGACAAATGGCTGATGGTGACAGTGTCAAAGGATGGTACGAATGTATATGAGCTGTGAGCTACGTTCCATACAGCTACGTTTTTTTACTATTTTTAAAGAATGTACCATGCATCCAGTTTTTACCAGGCTACTAAATGTTTCCATCAATCTAACCAATAACAACATTTAGCAATTATCTTTCATACGGTTGTCAGGAATGTAAAATCAATCTTGCACTGTAGTTGCTATTTTTCCTAATGTTATTGTAGCTCTTAATGATGATGGCACAGTTCCTCGAAAACTCGAGATAATAAAGTAAAAAGAGTCCTCATTGCTTTAATTTTGTCGAAGTACCCAACTAAAGGCTGAAGCTTTTCCCACCTGACTGTTTGTTTTGACGACAATGACCACGGCTCAATTCAAACGAAATATTTAGATGCATTTTAATGTTTTGATGGAACAAAAGGCAACAAGTAATGTTTTAACCTGAATAATTCTTACGTTTCGAAATCTGCTAGCACCTTTAAGAGTTCTTTATATCCGCCGTAACGTATCCACGTTCTCTGCCAAAACATAAAATAGCAACTTCAGTAAGCTCAGTATAATCAAGTACCAAAATTGTACAAAGTGGTTCTAGGCATCGCATGCTACTCTTATCGCAGTGTACCTTTTTGAATACCAGATCCGCGATCATGTTTGTACATAAAGACACACCACGTTACCAGTGGCATACTATAAGCTATTTTACTACCTTCCATTTTGGTACTTGGCTATAGTATGAGGAATATAATATTTAAGTACATAGGTAGTAAATCTGAAAGTGTTAAATACCAAGCAAACAAGAACGATGAAAATATATATAATAATCAGACTTGATTAGCACGTATTGGAAACAGGCAGAAAAGTATAATCATGCAGTAATTAATAACTATTTGAACTTCGACTTAAGTAAAATATGTAACTTCTGTGCTATATATGGTCAAATATCTTCATTGTGTATGATAATGTTGTTTTTGTAATTATGTACTTGTAATGATTATTAGGGTCGGATTGGTATATTTACGAAACCAAAGAACGTCAGACAACTTTGATACAATGTATAACAGTATAAGCCAAGGATCTTTTGAGGCAGTAAGATAGTCTACCAAATTAAATTGATTGGGAAATGAACAGCTTCGCAGGTTGGTTAAGAAAGAAGCTTGTCTTTCAATTTGTTCAAAGGAATTAGACGTTCTTTCGAATTCGCTTTTTTATCTACTTCCATATGGATAATTTGACTTTCTTTGGACTTACGCTTTAGGATTAAAGCTGCTTGGTAGCAGACTGACTCTTTTGCTTTTCAACATAATTTCTGGAGTCGCCTAAAAAAAGCAAAAAACCAATTATGACAAACATTTTGCTAGGTTTACTCTGGACTTTCTTTGCATTGATAATGATAAAATTACAACTTTTCATGGATACTGAGTTTATTGTTTCATATAATTCTGAAGTTACCTTTAAATCCCTTATTAAAAATTGTGTTTCTCTGGAAGAATTATTGCATTGACATCTAGATCAGGCTACGATTACTTTTTGAAATGATGGAAACAGAAAATAATTGATCCATTTTGTATCAGAAAAATATAAAGCTTTGCAAACGGAATACTAGAACGCGAAATAAATCCGTATTTGTACAAAATCTTGTTGAAAGCTAAAAAGACCTTATGTTCCAGGTATAGCTGAGTTGCGGAGATATTTAAACATTCCTTTTCGAAAAATACGAATCGGTTACAACCCACATTTAAAACTCTGTTCTTTTCATGGTTTTTGGTGGTTATGTCATACGAAATAAGTAAGCATATGGACTAACTGTATCATGAGCGGAGCTTAACTTTCCTAAAGAAAATTGCTGCTTCCTGCTCTTGCACAGACACATCCGTCTGATAACAGGGGTCTATTTCGTTTCAACTCTATGGGCCCACGCCTCTGGCTTGATGGTTCTCCCAAATGCCCAATAATCAAAATATTGAGAACCCCCCTCCGCTGTTCAATTTCCCCAATAGCAAAACAGGGCCCTGGATTTCGCTCTGACCTAAGGGCCCGAGCTTTCTGTGGGCTTAGGTGTCCCTATAGCTTAAGACGGCCCAGACAGAGGAGTTTTGATTTCATTCTCTTGTTCAGAATACTCCAATAACTTTAACAGAGACGGTGAACATTGCAGTTGTATCTCGAGCCATTGCTATACTTTATACCAAAGATCAAAAAAAGTAAACTCAAATCGCACACCCATGATAAGCAACTTGTCATACTGACAGTGACAAGCATAAATGGACGACTCATACGTTGACAACCAAATTTCCAAGGGGGTGAGATAAAACTAAAGACGTACGCCTGTGGGCTCTCTAAAATAAACCTCAGCGCATAGAAATCAATTTCATATTATGTATATGTGAGGGAGATGGATGATAAGATAGTGGAAAGCCCTATACCAGACTTGTGACTATGAAAAAGGAAGCGTATGTGAAGGGTTAAAATTTTTGAAAAACGCCAGACCGCTTCAAATATTTATATGAGCGCTATCGCCAACATCTACAAAAAGAAACATATACAAATACACCATAAAATATTTGTGTAGCAGTTTTTTGTGTGTGCACCCGTTGCTGTCGTGAGAGTTTTACTTACTCTCACATGACAACTCAAGTTAAACATAGCTTTCAGGTGTTGCAGCAACTTAAATGTTGCTTCAGCTTCTAGAGTTTACATTTGCTTAGACGCTGCTCGTATTGAAAATTGTTTGTTATACTTGCAATTTTATCGATAGCTGATATTAAGGAGTGGATAACGTTCTTTCATTGGATGTTAGCATTTTTCAAGACATATGCACCGTGGCGCCACTAGCCATTTATGCTTACAAGGGTGCTTAGGCCTCAGGCCTTCGTGGTAGTTGGAGTATAAAAAAAAAAAAGTATCTACGTGTCGACCACCGTCTTTAGTCGTCGGCGTTGCCACCTTTTCGACCGTTGTTACAGGTTATTGGATTTTCTTTTTTGAGGTGACGGATGATTGATGCCATGCTCAAGAACAAACCATATGTTTTAAAAGAAAAATAGAGTATGTTTTATTACTTTTAAGAGAATTGCAGATCATACTTGGCAACATTGCTGGGAGAATGTACTGTGCGTGAGGGTACAAACGGAGCATATCGTTGGACATCTTTGATAGCACGTTAATCAACGTTATTTGTTGAAAATTAAATGTAATATTTTGTTAAAAAATCGTGCTCATATATCTCATATATTATGTTTTCAACAAAATTAAGTATACTGTTGTTTGTTGCATTAATTAATCCAAGCGGACTTTCCGCGAGAGTTTGATTGTGACAAAATAGATCAAAACAGTGTTTCCGTATCAAGTTGACCCACTTAAATATGTGGGAAAAATCATTAAAGAAAGCTGACCCAGAATACGAAGATTGAGGGTGAAAATCGTAATGTCGAAAGAAATTCCTCCAGGGCCTGTACTACCAAGGAGGCTTACGTAAAGTGATTGAATCGCTAAGTAATAACTGTTTGTATTTCTTACAAGCGTCAAAAGATTAATAACGTATTGCGAGAGTAATAAAATGGTCGAAGGCTGAGATATGAATGATATCTTCCACTCTCCAAATTAATAAGGGCGCTTTGAAAAGAGATCCTCACGTTGAGTCCTCGTCTTGGATTTAAGGATACAAGGTCGGAAACGAAAAGAGTGTCAACAAACGAAGCTGAATCCTAATGAATTTTATCCACGCTTCTATAAGAAGATTCCAAAAAGCAAGAAATCATCCTAAGCGACAAGTAGATGTCGTATATGAGAGAGAGCACACATATGATTATTGAAAGAAGTCAAGTTTGTAAATGCCATTTAGTAACTTTTCACCCTATTACATAGAAAATAATCGCCATTTAGCGAAATGATTACTTCAGTTGAATTTTACTGAGATTTGCTGTATTTTGGCAAGTTGTAAATACATGATAGCAAATCATATTAGGCTCCTACGGTCCTCCTATTCTAAAGTAATAAATCTTAGAGAGCCCCGAAGTAATCGTGAATTTTACAATTTTTATACTATCCTGGTGAGGCCTTTCGTTTTTGATATACATATAGTAATGGTAATATGTACAATATTATACAATCTTTGTATTTACAATTTTTGATGCGCACGATTTATTGTCGGAACACACGGGCGTTACACTGTCGCACTGCAAAAAGAAACGCGCGTTCAGCATTACACTGATGTAAATGTAAGTGCTATCGATGCGAGTTCGATTGAATGCACTTTTTGCAGTACTACAATTTTAGTGACGCACGTATTTTGTAAAATGTTCGTCAGAACTTGTCGCGTTGAAACACATCTCACGTGAACAGCAAGCAGTCCCGCGATTTTTATTTCCAGCCTGACAATGTGTAACTTATTGCAACGCTCAAGGACTGTAGCAATGTCAAACTTCCTGCAGCACCTTAAGGCTTTCATTTAACTTGGACTGGAAACGAGAATGACTACACAACGATTGATTGTACATAAAACTGCTTCAAATAATTATATTTGTGTTGTTTGACTATTTTTAAAAAAAATAAATTTTTGACTACGCCCAAAAAATATTAGGCAGTTGAAGAGCATGCAAAAAGAAGATGGAGGAATGATCTAACATTTTTTGTTTCTTGATTATACCCACTGAAAATAAATCAGCATACTGTTGCTAAAAACGCCAACGGAAAGATCAATAGACTGACCAACGGAAACGAGTGACATATTTTGATCATGTAGACATCTTAAAAAGACATCCAAAATAGATGTTTCCTGAAGTTTAAAAATTTTAAATTTTCCATTGCTTACGCGTACTGTATTAATTTAATCCAAAAATGACAGAATTTCTGTAAGTGGTTGATGTGACAACATACTCCGATTCAAATTCCGCCCCAAAAACCATATGAAATTTTAGAGATCACAGCAACTTCATAGCTTTCCTCACACAAGTCGCAAAATAATGAAACTAAAATCTATTTAAACCTCATTACCCCGAATCAAAACAAACACGACCTTCTGATCGAATAGACGCTTGTCGCTGCCTGTCCAGCGCATTTATAGCTCATACCCAGTAGGAGCGCGCGAATTTGAACGTCACGCGCTGGTGTTAGTAAATCAGATTTGAAACCACCACAGGCTGTGTTAGTTCAGTTGGTAGTCGTCAGTAGCTCTAAACAATCCGTTCTAATCACTAGCTATTCAACAGCGTAAAATTTCCAGGTTTTGATCTCACTTTCTACCACTGATAATAATAAAAGTGGTGATAGGGATAAATATACTCATCTTCATCTGTTCCGTAGATTCCTGCAATATGTACCACAAACATTGTAGGAGGAGGATATATTTTTTCATTCTGGCCCAAAGCAGCGGAATGTGCTATTCATGGTGAAAGTGCAAACAAATTTCCAGTAACTCCTCCACCTTAATCCGATGTGTGATTTTAGACATCCGGCTTATATACAAAGTATGGTCGTAAGCCGTTTCATCTCTTCTAATAAAAAACTGTAGGCCCAAGAAATGTAGGTAAACATGAACGTTCAGCTTATATAGAAACAGAGAAAGAACTACAGATAACCAATTGGTGGTACCAAGTCCATGAATGGTGAAGAAAAATGTAAAAAGTGCGAAAGGCAAAATGATTAATGAAAAATCATCAAACACTACCAGATGGAAAAAAATATGGCAAAGAGAATAGGTAACTTGTGAAAATTAAGTAAACTATTGCATGTTCGACAAATAAGCAATCTGGGCGAATGAATAGCTTTTCGGATTTATTATAACTCAGACAAGCCATATCCGTAATCCAAACAATGTTATAGGTGTATACAAAGGGTTAAATTAAATAAAAAAACATTCCCTCGAGAAAAAGGTCGAAATTATCGATGATGAAGATGAGCTTCAAGTATTTCAACCAATGATAATAGATGCTAAAAATTGATTCCGTTGTTACCAGTTGGTCTGAGAATAGATTTTTAGCAGTTTAACAGATATTCTTCGGTAACTCGAAACCATGTCCATATTTTAGAAGTTGTAATTTTACCAATAATCGTCAACATAACTGAAAAAGGTGACTCCAGCAAAACATCAGCATTGTCCACTTTTTCGGAAAAATATACATCTCAGTAGTAAAAAATTGTGTCTAATTGCGGCTTTGCAGGTTAATTTTGATGCGGACGGTTGTGACCGTTTCTTAATCGTTTGAAATTAAGATTTTCAGTGCTCAGTTGTGTAATTAATGTGTCTTCTGTATCAATGCAACATAAATAAAGCGTCTTTGCGTTGTTGAATT